GAAGGGTTTCCTTCACTCCACTGGGCTACTTTCAGAGTACCAGATGACTCATGAGCTCACTCCACCTCTCTAGTCTCTCTTCATTCTCCCAGACTCTACCGAGTTTTCCAGATTTTAATGCCTGCCATGTTCCCCCTCCCCCAAATCTACTTTTATTCCATGTACAACAAATATCTAATTGAGCACCTAAGTGCTCTAATTGAGCACTTGTCCAGGTACCAGGCTAACAAAAGCACATATGCTCCCTCTCTCCTATGGAACTTTAGGCCTCGTGAGGAGAGATGGACATTAAACAAATAATTGCATAATGATAAATGATTAATTACTCAGTCTTCCTGGGTGGTGACACACCAGGTTCACAGTCGTTTATTTATTCTTATTCCTTTGTTAAACATCTNATTAATTACTCAGTCTTCCTGGGTGGTGACACACCAGGTTCACAGTCGTTTATTTATTCTTATTCCTTTGTTAAACATCTTCAACAACTTAAAAACAACTTCAGCAGACCATGCAATTCTTCATCCGAATTTCACTCCACTGGCCGTCACTCACAGGCACAACCACTGTGCCCCCACGCCCTGGTGTCAGGCAGCCCTACTTTCCCTTCAAGGTATTTAACCCAATGCCCCTCATCTCTGGCCACCATCTCCATGACACCACTCCCATCAAGCAAGTCTCTAAGCCTAGTAGTCACTCCATTCACCACATTTGGATACACCCAGTGTGGATAAGTTTAGTTACTTCCGTGCAGCCTTCCTTCCCACCCTCAATCCCAGCATCAGCCATGTCAAAGCCTCTCCACATGTCCCAGCAATGCTCCATAACTGGTCTCCATGCCTCCAAAGTCTTACCCACCCTTTCCCATCACCCTCTTCCAGTCCAGCCCAAACACAGCGCTTACCAGATCTGGCTCCCCCAAACCTCATTTCTATCACCCGCCCTGCTCAGAAACCTATTTTCTATAGGATAGAATCCATATAGCAGCCTCTGCATCTTCAGGCCCCAGCCTGATCCTTCAGACTTAATGCTCATTACTTACCCAGAGGAACCCCCTCCCCAGCGGCCTTGTCTCCTCTCCTCCTTGTTCTCCAAATGTGCCACACAGCATAAGCCCATCCAAAGTCTCCACATTATCAGGGGCCACTCAGGTCCCTCTTCACTGAGTCCTCCCAGGCCGTCAAGCCTCTTCTCCCATCTCCAGGGCTACATATTCTCTGGGCCCCTCACCTAAGCTCTCAGTTACCTGCCCTCCTCTCACTGACTGGCACTGTGTGTCATGTACTAGACAGTGACCCCCTCATGGCAGGGATTGTTGGGCATTGAGTGTATTTTCCCAGCATCCACCACAGTCACAGATGCAATGTTTAATGAGTAAGGATCTTCTTGAACTCTGAACTTAATCCTTCCTGCAACAAACATAGCTCTCTCCTCTGTCTCTGTATTCAGCAGGCGCAGGCTGCTTCCTCTGTAACCTCTTTGAAATAACCTATCACAATCTGGAGAGCAGAGGTGTTCTGATAAGCCTTCAACTACCAGCTCTCCAGAAAAGAGAGGAGGGAGGTAGGGATGGAGGGAGGGAGGAAGGAAGGAAAAGTGGGAGGCAGAGAAAGAAAGAAAGACCCATGATTTGTAGCATTTGCCACTTCCCATGGTGTAAATGTTCCTATTATGGCGGATGTTAAACTACCAACATGAGGTCACTGAGATGCACACAACTGGCTCTTGTGAACTAATACAGGCTGTCCAGCTTGCTACTGCTGGAAGGTCATGTTCACTTTCCTCCTTAAATCATTTAATTTTCCTCTTCTGCTACTGTCTCCT